TGCTGCTGCTGCTGCAGCTGCTGCTGCTGCAGCTGCTGCTGCTGCAGCTGCTGCTGCTGCCACTATCCTAGGCCTCTCTACGACGGTGCGAGCATTCTGCTGCAGCCGCCTGCAGCCGCAGCAAGATGCGGCGCTGTGCTGCTGCAAAGGTTAAGTGGTCTGCGCCGCTGCGGCCTCGACTTTGCTGCTTGGCAGCAGCAGCAGCAGCAGCAGCAGGTGCTGCTGCTGCTGCTGTTGCAGCTGCTGCCTCTCGTATGCCTTGGTGTAGGGCCGCATGGACAACGGAAAGCAGACCCTGCTGCTGCTGCGCAAGAGCTAAAGGTTTACTTTCTGCTGCAGTCTCTGTTTCAGCAGCAGCTGCTGCGGACTCCGTTCCAGCTGCTGCTGCTGCTGCTGCTGAAGGCAGCAGCAGCAGCGGGGACAGGCGGTGCCTCAGAAGGGAACTTAAGAAAGAAGGCAGTTCGCGCTGCACAAACACTCAAGACGCGTGCAGTATAGCTGCTGCTCGTCTTGCTGTGGAGCCAGAGTTGCTGCTGTTGCTGCTGCTGCTGCTGCTGCTGCTGCTGCCTCTGCTGCTGCTGCATGTGTCACTGTGCCTGCTGCCACTGCTGCTAAACCCCAGAGAGTCTTCTACAGCACGCATCTCACGCATATGACACTCATTTGTACGTGCACCTGCTGCTGCTGCTGTTGCTGCTGTTGCTGCTGTTGCTGTTGCTGCTGCTGCTGCTGCTGCTGCTGCTCTGTGGGTGTGGTCTTACCTGTTCCTCGCAGCTTGCTTCGTCGAGGTCCAGCAAGAAAGTGAAGAACAACAGCAGCATCTGCAACAGCAGCAACGAATTGCAGCAAGGGTTGACAATCAGCAGCAGCAGCAGAAGGACCAATAGCGCGCTAACACGTGCTGTTGCTGCTGCTGCTCTTCGTGTTGCTGTCGGTGCTGCTGCTGCTGCTGCCGCTTCTTCTGCTTGCGACTCTTCCTCGCCTGCGAGTTTCGATGTTGACCAACTGGCTGCTGCTGCTGCTGTTGCTGCTGCTGTTGCTGTTGCTGTGGCTGCTGCTGCTGCTGCTGCTGCTGTGGCAGTAACATGCATATGATATCTCTGAGATCGGCAGCGCTCCAAAGGCTCCTCAGCTCGTGTCCCATGCTGCTGCTTGGCTGCTGCTGCGACTGCTGGTCACTGTGCTGCTGCTGCTGCTGCTGCTGCTCTTGCAGCTGCTGCTGCAGCGCTTGCTGCTCCGCAAGCAACCGCTGCTGCTCCTCGTACAACGAACGGCAGTGCTGTTTGCTGCTTCTAGAGTGAAGCAACAACTGAGGCATTGCCTGAGCCTGCTGCTGCCGCTGCTGCTGCTGCTGCTGCTGCTGCTGCTGCGCCCCCTTGCTTGGCTGCTGCTTCCGAAGCTGCTGCTCGCTGCCCTGCACATCTGCTGCAGGAGCGTTTGCTGCTGCTGTTGCACCTCCAGCAGGAGCTCCCTTTGTCTGCTGCTGCAACTCCCACTCCTCCCAAGAACAAGCAGCTGCTGCAGGTGGAGCAGCAGCAGCAGCAGCAGCAGCAGCAGCAGCAGCAGCAGCAACCGGCTCTTGAACCAGAGGCGGCGGAGACCCCCGTCTAAATACCCTCGGCCTTGTTGCTGGCCACACGCCTGCTTCTGCTGCTGCAGCAAAAACAGCTGCTGCTGCTCTTTGGCCCCTCGTGCGGTGCCAGTCGGACGGGTTGCTGCTGCCGAAGATGCAACGGATACCCCCTTAATAGCTGCGTCGAGGAATGAACTCCAAGAAGGAGGTGCAGCAGGAACGCTGCCCAGCAGCAGACTCTGCAATAGAGGTTGCTTCCCTTGCTGCTGCTCTTGCTGCTGCTGCTCTTGCTGCTGTTTCCCTTGCCGCTGCTGCTCTTGCTGTTGTTGCTCTTGCTGCTGCTTCCCTTGCTGCTGCTGCTCTCGCTGCTGCTGCTCTCGCTGCCACTTCTGCTCCTGCTGCTGCTCTTGCTGCTGGTGCTCTTGCAGCTGCTGCTCCTGCTGCGGCTGCTCTTGCTGCTGCTGCTGCTGCTGCTGCTCCCGAGACTGCGTTTGCTGCTGTGGGAGAAGCTGCTCATGCTGCGCCTGCACCGCCATACTTACAGTGTCGCATATTTGCTGCTGCAGCTGTGGCACCTGAGGTGTCTGCTGCTCCGTCTCCCGTTGCTGCTGCTGCTGCTGCTGCTGCTGTTCCTCATGACGCTGCAGCTGCACTCCGGATGCTGCGCCTAATGTTGCTGCAGCAACTATCTGCTGCTGCTGCTGCTGCAGCAGATTGAGCCCTGCCTCGCAAGGCTGCTCCTGTGGCTGTTGTGTCGTCTGCTGCTGTTGCTGCTGCACTTGCAGCTGCGATTCTTGCGGCTGTTTTGGCTGCTGCGGTTCGTTTTGCTGCAGCGCCTGCCGTTGCTCCTGCTTCTGCAGCAGCACTTGCTGCTGCTGCTGCTGCTGCTGGCTAGCTGCGTGTCTATCAACGAGGAAATGGAAGGGCCCACGAACGCCGGCATTGCTGCTGCTGCTGCTGCTGCTCCTGCTGCACGGCCCGCTAACTCCTGATGGCTTTAGAGGATCTTGCTGCAGTCTTTGCTGCACTTGCTGTGGCAGCTGCAGCAAAGGACGCTCTGGCTGCACTTGCTGCTGCTGCTGCTGCTGCTGCTGCTGCTGCTCCTGAGCTTGGCTTCCTGCAGCTAGCCGCTGCATATGTGCCATGTGCTGCTGGATCTGCTGAACCTGCTGTTCCAATCCGCTCGGAGTTACTTGCTGCTGCGGCTGCTCTCGCTGCTGCTGCTGCTGCTGCTGCTGCTGCTGCTGCTGCTGCTGCAGGCCTGCTGCAGCCTCAGGCGGACTTGCTGTCCCCCAGGATATGACAAAGCTTTCATCTACCACGTTTTCTGCTGCTGCTGCTGCTGCATCTTTCTGCTGGAAAGCAGCAGCAGCAAACCCAGAGCGACCTTGCGCTGCAGCACCACGCAGCTGCTGCTGCGCCTGCTGCAGCAGCCCCGCAGCTGCCCCTATGAACCCCTCGTGCTGCTGCTGCTGCTGCTGCTGCGGCAGCTCATCTGCTGCAGAAGGAAGCTCCACATCGACGTCTACGTTGGAAGGCGGCAAGCGGCTGCTGCTGCTGCTGCTGCTGCTGCTGCTGCTGTTCCACAGCGGCAACAGCTGCAGCAGCCCCCTCCCAGTGCTCCCTTTGGCCTTTCTAGTTGGGAAACTGCTGGAGCTGCTGCTGCAGCTGGTTGTGCTGCCTGCTTTGTTGCTGCTGCTGCTGATGCCTGTCGCGTTGCTGCTGATGCTGCGCGTCTCACTGGGGGACCTCGAAGTAGCAGCAGCAGACAAAGGTGCTGCTGCTGCTGGCGCGGCTGACGCAGCAGCAGCAGCAGCTTGCAGCGGCACGGGTTGCGGCTCTACTTGCTGCAGCACAGCAGCAGCAGCATATCCTGCTGCTGCTGCTTCTGCTGCTGCTGCTGTTGTTGCTGCTGCAGGGTCTGCTGGTTCCAGGCCTGAAAGCGTCTCATCCCACCCTGGCAGCGGCAGGATTATGGCGTTGCTGCTACGGCTGCAGCTGCTGCTGCTGCCGCTCGCACCTGCTGCTGCTGCTGCTGCTGCTAGATTTGCTGCTGCTGCAGCCGCAGGAGGCGTGTTACTCTCCGAGATAAGAAGAGCATTGGGAGCAGCAAAAGAAGAACTCTCGAGCCAGTTCTGCTGCTGCCGCTGCTGTTGCTGCTGCTGCTGCTGTTGCTGCTGCTGCTGAAGTTGCTGCTGCTCCTTCAGAAACTGCTGCTGCGGCAACTGATGCGCTCCGTGGCTGTTTCCAGCAGCATCTGCTGCTTGAGCTGCAGTGATGTTGCAGGGCTTGCCGCTGCTGCTGCTGCTGCTGCTACTGCTGCTGCTGCTGCTGCTGCCGCTGCTACTGCTGCTGCTGCTGCTGCTGCTGCCGTCATCATCAGACATTTCTTCTTCAAAAGAAAAGAAAAATGAACGTAGGTTCGACTCAAGGGCTTGCTGCTGTCTGTCTTCGTATTCGAGCTGCAGCTGCTGCTGCTGCTGCTGCAGTTGCTGCTGCTGCTCTTGCTCCTGGCGCATTCGCTCTTCAGCTTCTGCTTGCTGCTGCAGCTGCAGCTGCTCCTCTTCCAGCCGCGCCAGCAGCTCGCGTTGCTGCTGCGCGAAACGCTGCAGCAGCAGCTGCTGCTTGCGTGGATTGTTCCCAAAGGAAGGCTGACACTGCAGCAGCTCCTGAAGCTGCTGCTGTTGCTGCAGCAGCAGCGCGTGCAACTGTTCTGGCTGCTGCTGCTGCTGCTGCAATCCCCCGCAACCAACATCGGGCGCTTGCTGCTGCTGCTGCTGTTGCAGCTGCCACGTTGCTGCTGCTTCGAACTCTGTGACATCTTCTACTGTCGCTGAAGTGCTGCACCTCCTAGAGGCAGCAGCTGAGGCTGGCCTCCCTGCTGCAGCAGCAGCAGCAGCAGCAGGACAAACAGCAACCTCTGGTTGCGCTTGTGCAGCAGCAGCAGCTTGTGCTGCAGCTGCTGCGGCTGCGAGGCTTGCTGCGTCTCTAACTGCTGACAGACTCTCCGGCGCTGCTGCTGCGGCTCCTGCCGCTGCTGCTGCTCCGTTTGGTGATGCTGCTGCATCTGCTGCTGCTCCCTCTGAGCCACCTAGTTGCTCCCTACTTGCGTCACCTGCTGCTGCTGCTGCTGCTGATGCTGCTCTGTTCCGCGTCGCAGCGGGCTGGACTGCATGCGCTGCTCTTGCTGCTGCTGCTGCTCTTGCTGCATGCGTTGCCTCGTATGCAGCTCCTGCTGCTGCTGCTCTGGCGTTTGCGCGCGCAGCAGCATCTGCAGCAGCAGTCGCTGCAGCAGCAAGTGTTGTCGTGCTCACTGCAACAGGAGCAGCTGCAGCAGCAGCCGCTGCAGCAGCAGCAAGAGCAGCAGCAGTTAGTCCCTCCCCAGCAGTGCCGCTGCCGTGCTGCTGCAGCAGCCGATGTGCTTCTTCTTCTTCTTGTCGGTACTGCTGCTGCTGCTGCCGCTGCTCCTGCTGTATGCGCAGCAGCTGCTCCTGCTGCTGCCGAGCCAACTCCTCGTGCTGCTGCAGCATCTGCTGCTCCTGCTGCTGCTGCTGCTGCTGCTGCCGCCGCCTTCCAGCAAATATGCTGCTAAATAAAGCAGCAGCATGCATGGGGTCGCTGCGGAACCCCACAGAGCTGCCTGTACACCTCAACTCCGAGTCTGGGCAGCACTGCTGCAGCAAATGTTGCTGCAGTGGCTGCTGCTGCTGCTGCTGCTGCAGCTGCTGCTGCCACCCTGCTGCAGTGAACAGGAACTGTTTTAAGAGCTTCAGCAGCTGCACAAGTGGCGGCATGGACTCACATGGGTCGCAAGTCCTATCATGCTTGCTGCTGCTGCTGCTGCTGCTGCTGCTGCTGCTGCTGCTGCTGCTGCTGCTGCTGGTAACTGCTGCCCAGGACGGCAATGGGACAAATTCTTCAAGGCTGCAAATACGGCCCTCGCCTGTGTTGCTGCAGTTGCTGCTGCTGCCGTTTGTGATGCTGTTGCTGTTGTCGCTGCTGCTGCTGCTGCTGTTTCTGCTGCTGCTGTTTCTGCTGCTGCTGCAGGAGATGCGCACACCAGAAAGCCGCCTAAATGCAATTGTTGAACGCGTCTTACCGCAGCTGTTGCTGCTGCTGTTGATACTTGTGCTGCTGCTGCTGCTGCTGCTGCTGCTGCTGCTTGTGCCGCGACAGATACTAATGCAAATGCCTTCAAGAGACTCCAGCACATGAGCGCTGCTCCCGCTGCCGCTCTCGCTGCTACTGCTGCTGCTGCTGCTGCTGCTGTCACTGCTGCTGCTGCAGCTGCTGCTGCTGCCGACAGCTGACCCGAAGAAGACGCAGGACCCACAAGCAATCACCAGGGGACCCGGAAATCTGCAGCAGCAGCAGCAGCAACCGCACAATGAAACAGCAGCAGCAGCGCCATTGCAGATTCTTGCAGCAGCAGCAGCATCAGCAGTAGCAGCAGCAGCGGCATCAGCAGCAGCAGCAGCAGCAGCAGCAGCAGCAGCAACACCAAGAGCAGGCCCGGACACCAACTGCAGTAAGCAAAGGCCACAGGAAAGTGAGCAGCAGCACCGGCAACAGCAGCAACGGCACAACAGCAGCGAGAGCAGCCAACACAAGAGCACAAGCAGCAGCAGCAGCAGCAGCAGCAGCAGCAGCAACAGCAGCAGCAGCAACACAGGCAGGCTAGTTAGCTCACATTTGTCCCTTTGAAAACCGCCCCAGAACGAAGGATGCAGAAGATTCCGAGCAGCAGCAGCAGCAGCTGCTGCTGCCGCTGCTGCTGCTGCTGCTGCTGCTGCTGCTGCTGCTGCTTGGGTGCAGCAGCAAACCCAGCTGCACGCCCCAGCCATCCTGGCAGTCTTCCCTCCACGAGCCGCCACGGAGCAGCAACCGCTTTGCTGCATGCTGCAGCTGCTGCTGCTGCTCATGCTGCTGCTGCTCTTGTTGCTGCTGCTGCTGCTGCTGCTGCTGCTGCTGCTGCACGTCCATTCCCAAGCCGCAGCGCAACCCTGCAGACCATTCGCCGCCAAACGCATGCAGCAGCAGCTGCTGCTGCTGCTGCTTCTGCTGCTCCTCATTCCTGCTGCTGAGGCAGGCATCGGGCCCCGCTGCAGAAGCTGCTGCTGCTGCTGTCTCAACTACAGCTGCCACACCTGCAGCAACGCAATCCCCGCAGCAGCAGCTGCTGCTGCTGCAGCTGCTGCTGTTGCTGCTGCTAAAACGGCGCGCAGAGACACTCAAGCCATCGTCTCCATCTCCTTCGCAGCTGCTGCTGCTGCTGCTGAAGCTGCTGCTGCTTCTGCTGCAGCTGCTCCCGCAGCTGCTCCGGCCTCTGACATCGGTGCTGTCGCTCCAAGCAGCATCTGTGCTGCTGCTGCTGTCGCTGTTGCTGCTGCTGCTGCTGCTGCTTCTGCTGCTGCCAATGCGGCGGCTGCAGCGCTTTGAGCAGTAATATCCCACGCCATTCCTAAGCAGCAGGCCTTGCTGCAGCTGCTGCTGCTCATCTGCCTGCAGCAGAGGGGCCCCTGGAGCAGCAGCAGCAATAGCAGCAGCAGCTGCAACAGCAGCAGCATCCGCAGCTCCTGCTTGGGGTGCTGCAGCAAGCTGCAGCAGCTCATCAGAGACCCAGCGAGGGAAGCCCTGAGCAGCAGCAGGGTCACTGCTGCTGCTGCTGCGGCTGCTGCAGCACTTGCTGCTGCTGCTGTGGTTGTTGCTGCTGTTGCTGCTGCTGCTGCTGCTAAAACTAGGGTGCGCAGAATCCAGCTGCTGCGGCAGCAGCAGCAAGCAGCCGCCCGTGTAGAAGCCCCCCAGGTCAAACTTCAGCTGGAGCGCATGCAGCAGCAGCAACAGCAGCAGCAACAGCAGCAGCAACAGCAGCAGCAACAGCAGCAGCAATTAAACGGGAAGCCCGCAACAGCAGTACAGACATCAGCAGCAGCAGCAAATTCACCTTCACGGATTGATGCGGAAGCCTAGAGCGACAGCAGCAGCAAATGGCACCACCAGCTGCAGAAACAGCAGCAGCTGCTGCTGCTGCAGCAACCACTGCAACAGCAGCAACAGCAGCAGCAGCAGCAGCGGAGGCAGCAGCAACACGGATGCTCTTACGTGTGAGTGGCACCGCAGCAACTTAAAACCTTGGTCCTGGCAGCCATTTGTTCCGTTGCTCGAGTTGCAGCCGCTGCTGCTGCTGCTGCTGCTGCTGCTGCTGCTGCTGCTGCTCTCCAGCGGGGAAGGGCTGGTGTGGGAAGCAGCCAGAGCAGCAGAAGCGTTTGCTGCGTCAGCAGCAGCACAACCGTTCACGCTGCTGCGGCTATCCGAGCAGCAGTTGCTGCTGCTGCTGCTGCTGCTGCTGCTGCTGGCTGCAGCAGACCCCAGATTCGCAGCTGCAGCAGGAGACTGTTTTGCTTTTAGGCGCCCTCTGCTGCTGTTCCCGCTGCTGCTGCTGCCTTGGCCGCTGCTGCCGTTGCATGTGTTGCTGCTGCTGCTGCTGCTGCTGCTCGCGGGCACAGATTTAGGTCGAGGCCGTCTCATCCTTGCTGCGCCGCTCGTACAAGCAGCAGCAGGAGCAGCAGCAGCAACACGGAGCAGCAGCAGCAGCAACACGGAGTAGCAGCAGCAGCAGCAGCAGCAGCAGCCTTGCCAGGTTTACGCGGGACACCAGTGGCTTTTCCCACGTAGGTAACCCTGCTGCAGCAGCTGCTGCAGCAGCAGCTGAAGTTGCTGCTCGGAATTATCTGTTGCCGTTCGGCTGCAGCCTTAGCATTGCTGCTGCTGCTGCTGCTGCTGCTGCTGCTGCTTCATCAGAACGGCTGCAGCAGCTGCTGCAGCAGCTGCAGCAGGTGTGCTGGTGAAGACTTCGTATGTGTTCAGGCGAGGTGAAGCAGGTCAGCAGTGCGTAGTTGTATTGCTGCTGCTGCTGCTGCTGCTGCTGCTGCTGCAGCTGCGACTGGCGATGAGGCTGTAGCTTCAGCTCTATCCGCTATTTGCGCCTTTTCCGCAGCTGTTGCTGTTGCTGTCGGCGTTGCTGTTGCTGCTGCTGCTGCTGCTGCTGCTGCTGGCGCAGCAGCAGCGGGAGTGTCGGTTCCGGGCGAAGTTGCGCCGAGCTGCGCAGCTCGTGAGGTTGCTGCTGCAGCAAAGCAATTGTTAATTGCTGCTGAGTTATTAATTTGAATTTTCTTTTATTTAAAACCAAATAAACTCCTTTTCGAAGAGTTTTCCCCGCAGTTTCCCTCCCGAGGCTGCAGCCAGGGGCCCCCGGGGGCCCCCAGAGCCGCCACAGGGTCCTGGGTCTCGGCGTTGTAGGTCGAGTTTGTTTGGATTCCTTTTATTTTGAATTTATAAAAACAAAATGCAAAATTGCATTTAAATAAATAATTATTTATTCAAATAAATAAATATTAATCCCAGATTGACCTGCCCAGGCGCCCAGGGCCCCCGCACTGAGCAGCAGCCAGTGAGAGAAGCAGCAGCAGAATCTATTCCGCGGAAAATAAACTTCTAAATGTGCAATAAGGGCAAAATTTAGCAGCAAAACTCAATTTGAATTTGCTGCTGCTGCTGCTGCTGCTGCTGCTGCTGCTGCTGCTGCTGCTGCTTCTCGCGGTCATTTTCATTGAGCAGCGGTGCTGCAGCGTTGGCCCAGGTGGCTATACACCCGATTTTTGTGCTTTGTTTCTTTTTATTTTTATTTTTATTTTTATTTTATTTTTAATTAAAGAAAAACTTCACAAAAAAGACATTAGAGGCCCTCTGGTTTCGCAGGTGAAGTGGTTGTGGCTGTGGCTGGCAGCTAAGTGCTGCAACAAAGGAATACGCAAATAATATATAAAACCACAAGATTTGGGTCTCTTTTAAATGCAAAAAAACTATTTAAATCTAAATGCATGCATTTAAAAGACATTTGGGGCTTCAAGGCCTTCAAAAGACCTTCTTGGGGCACCAAATATCCCGAAAAGGTCTTCTAGACAGATATTTCAAGCGCAGCAGCGCAGCAGCACGAAGTCTGCATGCAGCTCCGCAGCAGCACAGAGACTCAGGCATAATTTCCTTGTCTTCTGCAGCTGCAGCAGTTGCTCTGCAGCAGCAGCAGTGGCTGCAGCAGCAGCAGCAGCAGCTGCTGCTGCTCTACATCTTCTGCTGCTCTCGGGAGCAGCAGAAAGTCGCAAGCAGCAGCAGGCCTCTGCAGCAGTCTGGGCGTTCGTGCTGCTGCTGCTGCTGCTGCTGCTGCTGCTGCTGCTTCGCAGCTGCCGGCCTGTGGCCCGTGTTTAATATTTCTTTTTTGAATTTAAATCAAATGGAGTTAAATTAATGTTTTAAAACCCTTTCTTTTGTCTATCAGAAGTATGTTCAGGACATTTGATTAAAGATTCATTTTTGTTTTAATTTAAAGATAATTTGCATGCATTTTAATTTAAATTTATTCCAAGTGCTGCATGCAAAGAAAGCTGCAGAGCCAGTTGGCCGTGGCTTTGCTGCCAGCCACGGGGCCATAATAATAATAATAATAATAATAATAATAATAATAATAATAATAATAATAATAATAATAATAATAATAATGATTATAGTAATAATAATAATAATAAATGAATAGTAATAGTAATAATAATGGGGATAATAATAATAATAATACTAATAATAGTAATAATGGTGACAAAAATAATAATAATAACAATAATAAAAATAATAGTGATAATAATAGTAATATAATAATAATAATAATGAATGAATGATAATAATAGTAATAATAATAACAATACTAATGATAATAATAATAATAATAACAATAATAAAAATAATAGTGATAATAATAGTAATATAATAATAATAATAATAATAAATGAATGATGTAGCCCCACAAGCATGGCCAAATCATTTATTTATTGTTTATTATTATATTATTACAATTATGGCCCCACAAGTATGGCTAAGCCATTTATTTACTATTGTTTTATTATTATTATTATTATTAATATTATTATTATTATTATTATTATTATTATTATCATTATTATTATTATCATTATTATTACTATTATTATTATTATTATTATTATTATTATTATTATTATTATTATTATTATTATTGTTATTATGGCAAATCTGCTGCCACTTAAACTGCCACAGTCTGCAGTGCAAATGGCTGCAAGGCCCGAAATATGAAATTTGTTTTTTTTAAATAAAAAGAAATTAAATTAATAAAAATTAATAAAGGGCTTTAAATGCAGAAGAACTGTTCTTTAAGGCGTGCTTGAAGTGGAAATAAAAGAGGAAAGTTTAAAAATTTGAAGCAAAAAAGCAATTTAGTTTGAAATTTAAAAAATAAATGTTTAATATTTGAAGTTTAAAAGCAATTTAGTTCCAAATTTCGAGCTTTTTGCGGAAGCTGAAGAAGACGAAGTTTCTCTGTCTTCTTTTGATGTTAATGAAATCTCTGGGCCTTTTTCGCAGTTTTTCTGGCAATTAAAGTAAATAAAAACATGAAGAGGATTTATATATTCATTTAAAGTCCAAAAAGAAGACAAAAATTCAAAAAACTTTCAAAAGATTCCCCAGAAATGCAGCATCATGAAACAGCCAACTTGAATTTGCTGCGGCCAACTTGTGGGGCTGCATGCATTCAATTGGCCTAATCGGAATTTCTTTTCGACAAAATATGTCAATTTTGGTCTTCAACTTGTGCATGCACACATGTATATATATATTACACATTATACACTTGTATAGACATATATATATATATATATATAATACATATATATATATATATGCATAGTTGTATATACATGCGTATATGTATATATATACACATATATATACACTTGTATATACACGTATATATATATATATATATGTGTACATACTTGTGAATACACTTACATATATATATATATATATATATATATATATATATATATATATATATATATAT